AGCCTAAGGGGTCAGAGCCTTGAGAAGAAGAAAAGTAGTTGACTAAGAGGAAGGAAACAAAGATTTTAGTCTTAGTTCTATTTTTTAGTGACACTGGACAAGCCAAGAAATCACCTTAAACTTAGTTTCCTGTAGTGGTTTTGTTTCATGACAACTTGCTAAGAATGGTTCAGAGTGTACAAGATTTAGAAGGCACAGGGAAATAGTGGCCAATACTCTCTGAAAGTCTTCACTTTTTTTTTTTTTTTTGGAGTTGGAGTCTCACTCTGTTGCCCAGATTGGAGTGCAGTGGCCGCTCTTGGCCATCACAGCCTCACCTGCTGGGCTCCGGCGATCTTTCCGCCCCAGCCTTCCAAGTAGCTGGAACTACAGGCGCGCACTGCCACGCCCGGCTAATTTTTGATTTATTGTAGAGATGAGGTCTCACCAGGTTGCCCAGGCAGGTCTCAAACCTGCAGACTCAGGCAATCCACTCACCTCAGCCTCCCAAAGGCGCAGGATTATAGACTGAGCCACCGAGCCCAGCAAGTCTTCACATTTTAAAGTCTTCACATGCTGTCAAAGACTGATGGAAAGATGCTGGCAGATTCTAGCTTGTCTGTACTCTCCCTGACTCTGTGACCACCTTTTCCTGATGACCACCAGCAACTCCAGTTCCCTTCTAGATGTAGAGGCCACAGCCTCCCATCGACTTCTCTACCAGCCTTCTTGTGGTCCCAACTTCAGCAGTTGGATGTGCCTGGTTTCCCACATTCCCTTGAAAAACTCCATTTACCCAGGACAAGTGTTTCAAGGGGGTTGGTTGTAACTTTTCTCTGATCTTCCAACTCCCTCTTTTAGACTTTCACTCCTCAGCTTCTTCCACAATTGGGTAAGCTTTTATTCCCAAAATAAATCCCTTACTAATACTCACAATGATTCTGCTGCCTGATTAAACCATGATATATTCCTTCAGTTGAAAAAAATTCAGATTTCAGAATAAGATAGTCTATAAATTTTAAAATCTGATTATTCTCTGTGCTTAACTGCCCCAACATACACATCACAATTAATGAAAAAATCTGAGTAATGTATACCCGGAAGGAATGGATGAAAATCATTATAAATGTTGTCATGAAATACTAGTCAGGGGAGGGAGCAAACTATTCCTCACCGTGCATCTTTTTGTATTCCTAATATCTACTCAAAACAAAACAGAATTATATTAGGGTCCTGTTTATACTTCTGTAAAGATTAATCATCAGAAGTAAGCTAAATCAGATCTAAAATTTCCTGTCTTCATTTTACTCAATATCTTTCAGAAACATTCACATTTATTCATTTAATTCATTAGCTCTACTTAATCATCTGATCAGTCAATCTTTAATTAAGTCTAGGAAAAAAGGCCCACAGAGTATTTTATGAAATTTGATACATATGTATCTAAATGTTTTAGCAAATATACATGCTATAACTATTTCAAGCCTTTATTAAGTACCTATTATGTGCCAAGCACAATATTATGTGCTGGGAAGTTAGAAGCGAATAAACATGCCATACTTTCATACTTCTAGCCTCTGAATTTACTGTTTCCAGTTTAGAATGTCCCCTACACTCTGCTGGCACCCCACTCTGTAGAAACAAATTGAGAAGCCAAGTACTCTGTGAAAATATTCCTAAAACCCAACCTGGAGAGTTAATCATTTCTCTCCTTAAATTTTCCATTTTGTACCTATGTCAATTTTGCATTAATTTTTTTGTTTATGTGTCTGGACCTAAAGAATTTTATGTGTATGGAATGTGTGTATCCTGATTTGGATGTGTTTGTTCTGTAAGCCAAAATATCCTATATTTGTCTACTATAGCATTTCCACACTGCACTTTGAATGAATGCTGAACTCCTTAAAGGATAGAAATATTTAGACATTATTTTATTTTGTTTCTCCAGTATAAAAGACCTCTAATGGCATAGACCAGACAATCAAAAGTCTTCGTTAACTTTCTGACAAGGGTGACATGATTAGTCAATGGGTAAAGAATAGTCTCTTTGACAAATGATGCCAGGACATGTAAAATAATAAAGTTGGAACTTTAGCTCATACTATATAATATACAAAACCTCCATTTATAAAAACCCATAACAGATCAATAACCTAAACACAAGAGCTAAAACCACAAAAAACTCTTAACATAAACAACAGGGTTAAATCTTAACATAAACAATGGGGTTAAATCTTCATGTCCTTAGATTTGGCAATGCATTCTTAGCTATAACTCCAAAAGCACAGGCGACAAAAAAACACAGATTAAACGTCATCAGAATTAAAAACTGGATGTATATCAAAGGATACCAACAATAAAATGAAAAGATCTTTTCTAAATCATATCTGATAGGGCATAGCATTCACATTCAGGACTAAATCCCTTTGAAATGTTCTCTGTGGGTCGCGTGCCCCCTAGGCACGGGAGGAAGCTGAGGATCTGGGGCCGCTTCCCCTCCTCCAGCAACGCGCGATGTAGTGCGGGGGACCGCGGGCCCCAGCAGAGCCTGCCTGCCAGACTTGTCTACCATCACAGGACAATCTCTGTCCCCTGGGGCTGAGAGACCCAATCTTTCCCCAAGCTGAAGCTGCAGGGTATTGAAGTACCAGCCAGATGTCTTCCCACAAAGGATCTGTGGTGGCACAGAGTGATGGGGCTCCTGCCAGTAACAGAGAAACTGACACGGTGGAACTGGCTGAACTGGGTGGGACCCCTGCTGGAAGAGAAGGGCAAACGGGTCATCGCCAACCCAACCAAAGCTGAAGAGCAAATATGCCCAGTGCCCCAGGAAGAAGAGGAGGTGCGTGTCCTGACGCTTCCCCTGAAAGCCCACCATGCCGTGGAGAAGATGGAGGAGTTTGTGTACAAGGTCTGGGAAGGACACTGGATGGTCATCCCATATAATGTTCTCCCTGACTGGCTGAAGGACAATGACTATCTGCTACATGGCCACAGACTGCGCATGCCCTCCTTTAGGGCTTTCTTCAAGAGTATCTTCCACATCCATATAGAAACTGGCAACATTTGGACCCATCTGCTTGGTTTTGTGCTGTTTCTCTTTTTGGGAATCTTGACCATGCTCAGACCAAATATGTACTTCATGGCCCTTCTCCAGGGGAAGGTGGTTTTGGGGATGTTCTTTTTGGGTGCAGTGCTCTGCCTCAGCTTCTCCTGGCTCTTCCACACCATCTATTGTCACTCACAGAAAAGTCCCCTGGACTTTTTCCAAACTAGACTATTAAGGAATTGCTCTACTGATTATGGGGAGCTTTGTCCCCTGGCTTTATTACACCTTCTATTGCTTCCCACAGCCACGGCTCATTTCCTCTCCATCAGCTGTATCCTGGGCATTTCAGCTATCATTGTGGCACAGTGGGACCAGTTTGCCACTCCTAAGCACCGACAGACAAGAGCAGGAATGTTCCTGGGACTTGGCTTGAGTGGTGTTGTGCCCACCATGTACTTTACAATAGCTGAGGGCTTTGTCAAGGCTGCTACAGTGGGCCAGATGGGCAGGTTCTTCCTCATGGCTATGATGCACATTACCAGAGCTGGCCCTTACGTTGCTCGAATTCCTGAGTGCTTCTTTCCAGGGAAATTTGACATACGGTTCCAGTCTCATCAGATTTTTCATGTCCTGGTGGTGGCAGCAGCCTTTGTCCAGTTCTATGGGGTCTCCAACCTTCAGGAATTCCGATATAGTCTAAAGTGGCTGTACTGATGACTCCCTTCTCTGAGCCTTCCCAACCTGAGGGGTGGAGGAGGAACTTCCCAAGTGCTTTAAAAAATAACTTCTTTGCTGAAGTGAGAGGAAGAGTCTGAGTTATCTGTTTTAAGAAGAAACCTATTAGAGAATTCAGTACCATCCAATCATCAGCCCAATTTCACACCCATTGGGCAATAAACTTTCCGTTTCCATTCCCCTAGCTGGGAAGGGGGTGATGGCCAAACTTAGCCATCCCCTCCACAGTGGTCACCCTCCTCACAAGGCAACTAACAGCCCCTCACAGAGACAGTACTTTGAAACTCATGTTGAGACTTTACACTCTCCTCCGAACATTTTGGGAAAAAATTATGAACAGGGACTCTTCAGAAATTCTGTCTTTTTTCTGGAAGAAAATGTCCCTCCTTTAACCCCGTCCTTATTTTGTATTCTGGTTTATAACAGGCCATCCACTTTTGTAGCACACTTTTCAAAAACAATTATATAACCTGGTCCCATCTTTCTAGGGCCTGGATCTGCTTACACAGCAGGAAGAATAAAACCACCAACTTTTACATAGCCCAGCTAATCATGGAAGTGTGTCCAGGCTTCAAATAGCTTGAGTTTTAATTTTTTTTCTTGGCAGAGTAATGAAAATTAAAATGGGGAAAGATATTTAATATTTAATGCTAGGCTTTAAAAATAAACCTGCTATCATTGCTATTCATCTTGATGCAAAGACTATGATGTTATTAAAAGAAAATACAGAAGAAAAAATAAAAGAAAATGTTCTCTGTGAACATACTTGCTTTTAGTTAAAGTTGATGGGAAAAAACAAAAAGCCAGAAACTCTTGTTTTACCACATCTAACTTAAACATAACTTCACACAGTATGTTACTTTCCTCCTTTTCTTATTATAAACAAAAAGGAGAGGCTAAAATTAAATAAATAATTTATCCTGAATACAATAGATTTAAAAAGGAAACATGTATTTTTTAGCCTGAAGCAGACCCTTTCAACACACAGCAAGCTTTTTATTTTCCTCTTTATTAAATGCTGACAACAATCCTTAATTTATAATAATTACAGTGTAATACTGGTAGGACTAGCAGGTCTCCAAGCAAAATCGTCAGTTACAATTACAAAATATATTTTATATTTGTAATGAGAAGCAGAAGCAATATTAAACCTTTAAGTTGGACATGCTAGAGATTGTATCACCAATTGTTCTGGCAATGAAGTATGAAAAAGTGTAGAAAGTTTCTCAATCATTTCCTACCTGCTGGCCATATTCCACTCGAGGGCTGGATTTTGAGAATTCCTTTCACTCTCTGTTAGCACCCCACCTGAGCCACTTTCCTTCTCTGGTTTTAGTTGATCCCACTGTGCAGTACCAATACTGATGGACTGCAGGTCTATTTGATATTGTCTGTCTTCAATTTCTGACCCAGGATCTCGAAGAATTCCTAAGTTCAATGCTCTCCTGTAAAGACAGGGGAAAAAAGGAAACACAGAATAATCATTCTCTCTTTATTTTTTTTCCTAATATAGTATTATGACCATTTTTTCCCTATGGATTACTGATGAATAAACTGGCTTAATCACATCTATGAGACAGGTTTTAGAAAGTTACTGCATCTTATGATTTGAAAATGTATCTAAAGCTCATTACTTACAGTCATCTATACTATAATAATTTCTTATGTGATTCCTGGCACTGTATACTCTTTTGGTAAGTACTTTCATATGCATGATTTCAATCCCAGAGGTGCTTTGAGATGCTATTATTATGTTGATTTTTACCAAAAAGAAAAAAATTCAGAGAGAATGAAAGTCAGCTATAGTTACAAAGCTATTAATAGTATGAAAGAAAACTACAACTTCCCTTCACTTTTTTTAACTCAAAACCTTTTCTAACACTAATCATCTACCTTCCTCAGAAGTTTGATTTCTCGTTAGGAAAGGTAATGGAGTCTTGTTAATTTATTTCATCCCCCTCAACCCTTGCTCTTGGTTCTTTATATAAGCTAATTGTCACACAGACTACATTGTTGAGAAAACTACAATGTTTACTAGTGTAGAATAACAGTGAGATTTATTGTCATCCATACAGCTGGTACATACAACTTTGATCTTATTGGGCCCATTGCTAAGCAAATGAATAAAATTATCCGTGGCTTAAAGATAATTAAAAGGAAGTAAATAGATCATTTTTTTTCATGTTTTAGAGTAAAAACAGCAAGGTAGTATGGTAAGGTGGGAAGGACCTTATCATAGTTTGGTAGCCAGATAAAATTTAAGTTTGTGAATTTTTTTGTAACATGATATTAAATTTTGTTGGTTCAGAAAAGCTTTAAAGTGAATGATCAAAAGAAAAAATATTTGGCTCCCATGAAAGTTTTCATCAGCAGAAAAACTGAAATAACATAGAGGATAAAAATAGTATTACTAGTAGAGATACTGAAAAAAGCTTCAACTACAGAAATTAGAAAAATACAATTTAATTAATTACATCAATTGAATGCTAATGAAACTAATTACTGGGGAAGTGCAGGCGGGATGAGGTAGAATGAGGGAAAAGGGTTGGCTTTCAGTGTAAGAAGTACAGAAAAAAGTTTAAGAGTCTGATTAAGTCTGCACCTTAGATGCCTAGGTAAGCATGGGAGGTCAGACCAAACATTACCACAGGCTGGTTAAGTGATAAAGGTCAGTGATAATGACTACCCAGACTCAAGATGGTAGGTGTCTGGGCCAGACGCTCAGGACTGGAGATGGCATGCAGTGGGCTAAGCAAGATGAGGACTGACATCATGAATTCAAGTGAAGAGAGGAACAAGAAGAAGACAGGAGTTGAATAAGCAGTCAGCTTACATGGCAAGGTAGCAGAGGGAATTACCAATAGGGAAAGAAGGAAATGAAAAGGCATTGATCAACAACCATAGCGGGAGCCATAAAAACGGAGTAGGATGAATTCTCATGATTCCTATGCTAAGTAATAAACCTGGTTCTCTTTTCCTCTTTACAAACTTAGAAAAATGACAGTTTACGAATGGGCATGCAAGGAAAGGTGACCTAAAGTTTTACATGGACCCAAAAGTTACATTAGAAATAGGGCTCAGGAAACTTCTATGGGAGGGAGGGGCACACCTCATCAACAAGGGTACCTGCATAATCAACTTCTGAATTGTACTCCACATCTTTAAAATAAAAAAATAAAAAATAAATAAATGAAAATAAATAAGTAAAAAGAAATACGGCTCCTAAGTGGGCCACGCACCCTTTCAATTTACCCTAATGAGGATAAACAGAAAAGGAATAAATGAGGGTAAAGGTGGCAAGAAGTAGAATTGTCAAGAATCCTTCTGTGGTAGAATGCTCGAGTTTCATTCTGCTAATTCTTAAAAGGTCCAGCTCAGATACCACTTTTTCTATGAAGCCTTTCTTGACCACCCTTTCTCCAAACTCCATCCCTCCCAAATTTGTGTTCTTAGGGTCTCACTATATTTGTAATTACAATACTATCACAATGACTTACCAGTCTTGCCAACTATATCATAAATTTCTTGAGGTCAGGAACTACCTATACTATTTAGCAATCAGTAAATGTTGTTTCAATTCATTGATTTCAACTAACACAATCTTTACAAATCTAAAACAGAGAACCTATCTGCCCACAGCAATAAGAATACATAATCTTTAAACAATAAGTTTTTGCTTCAGTGCCACATAAATTCTGACATTTGGTAAATATCTTGGGCAGTTGATGGCCTAACCTGTTTCCCTAGATTATTGCATCCCATGTAAAAGTTACAATGTACAACAGTTAATGCTGCCTATATTTTATAAACTTCCTAAATAAATTTCTAAGGTGAAATACTTAAAATACTTTAAGAATCCATGTGAAAAAAAAAGTTTGAAAATAAAATTAGTTCTATATTACAAGACACACTAACCTAGCAAGCATCAGTCTATTTCCCATGGCACACAGATAAAACTATACTCACAAGATTACAACCACAAAAATGCTGCGTTTCATCAGAGTTTTTTCATTTCATTTAGGCTTGAAATTTACTGTGTTTTATCTTGGCCATACATTAAGCTATATTTTTCTTATCGTGCATTTACTGAAAACATGATTTCCCACAGATCTATCTTCCTTTGCAAAAAAATACTGTGTCTACTGAGTGACAGATAATTCTATATATGTTAATATTCAAATTTCAAACTTTCAAAGGATCAGGGTTAGGGATTTTGTATTTTCTCTTACGATTTGCTTCCAAAATTAAATAATGTATCTGAGATATTGACATATATTTGACAGATTGATTTGAAAAAAGTTCAGAGTAATTTATAATATTTAGGTGATAAATCCAACTTAAAAGCTCATGGCAAAATCTTCCAAACGTCAGTTTCAGAAAATAGAATAAGCACTTGATTCATGTGATTTTCCAATGATCTTGAACAAATTATTTAACTTCTCTGTGCTTTAGTTATTTTTATATTAGAACTATTATGAAGATAAATGATGCACAGGCATCAAGATAAATCAAAGTCTACTTATCTATGAATGAACTACAATGAAAACTATAAAGATAGATGTTCTTTAACATTTCCAGTGCCATCTATTTCCGAATATGGCCTATTAGAAACTCTGAATGAACCTTTTGGTACAAACAACTAAAATGCTTGAAAAAAATTGAGAGTATTTTTTCAAACACATTCCAGAGCCGACACCAAAAGAGAATAACAGAGGCTGCAAAGTCTCTCAAATAAAGTGAAGCCAAGAACCATGATAGACAGGCACCTGCCAAAGCAGCTTTTACTCTAAGGGTTTCTGCAAAATCCTGCAGACGCTTATTTTCTGCTCTGTGTACTGCACAGGAGGAGATGAAACTCAGGGCTCACACAAGTGATGAATTTATTTAATAGGAGATCCTTTACATAAAGCTAGGGCCACCTAGGCTCACTAACAGTCAAAGGGTGAATTAGAAACAGCCCTTCTAGGGAGCTTTGGAGTGATGGAACAGATCTGTATCTTGACTGTGATGGTGGTTACATGAATCTACAGCTGTCACAAAATTGCATAAAACAATATACATGCAAACACAAATAAGTAAGTGCATGTAGAATGGGTGATGTCTGAATAAGGTTGTATATTGATTATACTGATGTCAATTTCTTGGTCTTGATATTGTGCTATAGTTACACAAGAAATTACCATTGAGGGAAACTGGGTGAAGGGCACACAGGATGTCCCTTTATATATTTTTCTGTAATTCCCTATGAATCTCAAAGTATTTAAAAATAAAATTTTAAATAAAAGTTCTCCTAATCCTCATGTAAAAAGGAACAAGGTAACTTACCTGTCTTGACCTTATCAATCAGTGAAGAGACAAACCAAAAAACAGCTCTCTAAGATTTTGCATTCATAAGCGAGCACTTGGAAGTTTGAGTTTCAAATACAGTATTAAAAAAAGTTCAACTGGAGAGTTGTGCCCCAAGTAGATAGAATGCCAGATGACAGGCAAAGGCTAAATTGAAAACAAATTCTCTTGAGAAGAACTCAATTTCAACTCAAAACACTTCCACAGATCAGGTTCCAAGTGAAATGAGATACTCACAGACAAAATTAACAATTCACGTAAGATAATACTATACCTTAAGTGGGCACAACAGAAGCAACAACCCTCAAAGACTTCAAAAAGGTAGATTAGCAAACATATAATATAAAATAATTGTTTAAAAAGCATCTTCAAAATATGACAGGGATTAAGATTTTAATAAGAACCAGGTAAAACAAGAAAAGAGAACAGAATTATTTAAATGTAAAAGTCAAGTAGATTAAACCTAACTGAAGTGATAGTGAATTAAAAGGAAGATGCAAAGAAATCCAGAATGTAATCAGAGACAAAGAAATACTACAGATGAAAGAGGTTTAAGATTCATGGAGAATAGAGGGTGAGAATATAAAAAATGTCTAAAGTTTATGGGAGACAGTACAGAGGGGGTATTATTTGAAGACATAACATCTGATAATTTTTCTACCAATTGTCAAAAAATGCCAAACCCCAAATCCAGGCAGCCCAAAGAATCTCAAGAAGTTATAATAAGGAAGAAATTGGTAAATATATAGATAAATCTAAACAAATATTATATTTAAATAAATAATAACAATGATGTCCACATTGTGAGAATACATGTTAAAAACAAGACACTGGAAAATAACAGTACATATAATAAAGGACCAGGTAATTTAAGGCAAAGTGTTCTAAGCTTCCTGTATTGTTGGGGACAAAAGAAAAGATAATGATTAACTACTTCAGACTTTTGTTATGTACACATGTGAAAACAGCTAAGATAATCAACAACTGAAAAAACAGACATGGTGAACATATAACTTCTAAAGAAAAATCAGAATGCAAGAAAAGAAAAACTAGACAAAGTTGGACAAATAGAAAGCACATAAGAAGATTCAAATATAGC